TATTTAGTTCTTCTTGGAACTCCATGTCCTTTATTCTATTGGATATTACTTGCTTTGCTTGGTCAAAGCCTAGGGACATTAAGAATATCGAAGAGAGCCCATAAGAGCCCAGTTTATGATCTATCGCCTGCTTCCAGGGGGAAGGAAAGTTGTCAGTCAGCACTAATGGGGACAATCCCTCTGGAAAGAAATGCATTTTCCCACAAAATATACAGAACAGGCACTCAACATGGCATATGAAGAACACTATCTCTATAAATAGCTGAGCAAAACAAACTGCTTCTGGGTTTCCATTCAATTATGAACAGGTAAAATATAGCTTCCAATAGTAGAAGTAATATAGCTGCAGCGTAATGAAAGAGGGATATTTATTATTCAGTTCTTTCACAGATGCAAGTTCTGTGTTAACATGGAACAGGGCAAAGTGGGTCAGCGCCACTTACCTTTTACTAACAACACAAGGCAGGCAAGGTAACGTATTTTTCTTGGGCTTAGATCACTGAGCTTTCTGCATGGTGTGGCTTGTTGTGACTTTCTTTCCTTGCCCTCTTGAGACACAGCAGACCTGCTCTCAAACACCAGGTTGCTTGCTTGATTTAGTCATTGTAGGATTTGGTAGATAGGATTGTTGCCTTTAATTCTTCATTTATGCACATTTATTTGATAAAAGCTTCCTTTTTAGTTCTTTTTAGAATTTCTATTTGTTGTTCATATATATTTTTCCTTCTAAAGATGTCAGGATGTAATCAGAAGGTTTCCCATTTACCATTATCACAAAAAAATTGATCTGTTTCTTGTTCAAGGAGCTACTAGTGCAGAGAAAAAAAATAAGACACAGGTAGTCCTTATTTAGCAATTGCAACCTGCAGCTTGGTTGTTAAGCAAAGCGATTGCTAAGTGAAACCATGACTGTGCATATGATCTTGCTTCAGCTTTACAAACCTGTGAAGGCCATAAATGTGAGTATTGGTCATAATGTTAGTTAACTTGGAATGGTCACTAAATGACGCAATTGCTAAATAAGGACCATCTGTACTATGTATCTGTTTAGTCCTCTATGACTAATGGTAGCTGAGTGTGTGATTTAGATTAGAGAGTTAGCAGAGCTATAGAAGAAAAATAATTTCTTTTCTTCTACATTTCTGCTCTTTCAATACAACAAAGATTGTGGAATTTTCAGCCCTCTGACCCCATATCAGATCTAATTTGATTCAGGTGATCAATATAATGACCAATATAAACTCAAGTATGTCTAGCTGCAGCGCAACCCTGCACTGGCAGTCTATGACTGGCTAAGTTTAAATGCTTTGGGATCTGGTGGAAATGATAGTTATAGACTGCAAAAATCTCAGAAAGAAAAATTCACAGACACAAATATCTCTCCTTTGTTTCCTTTGTTTGACATTTCCAGACATTGTCAATTAAAGAAGTTGTTCTATTTATTGGTATCAATTGGGAGGGATTAAATGTATAATCTTAGCTATTAGGAGAAGTACATTCAAATTCTCCCTGAACCATCCTGCCAAATCTTCCCTAAACCATCCTCTTATTTTATTCAATAGAAGCTGTTATTAGCAAGTAAACATTTTCTAATTATATTCCTGCTGCTATGTTTACTTTCTTGCATGTAATAAATAAAGTAGGAGAGGAAGATACATTACTGAACCAATATAGAAAGATACATGAGACAATATGTGCAGTTGTTTGAAATTGTATTGTTAAATAAAGAAAATGTATATTTTTGTTCTGTTCTGTAGTTGTTATTTGTATTGGAAGTGAGAGATTCGAAATTAAATGCAGTGATTATCATTTGCTTGTTCTAAGCATACCTTTGCCAATATTGAATGAGTTCCTTGTTTTGTACTTTTTTGTGTATTGTAGCATAAAATATGAAATACTGGTATTATTAAATGTTTCTATATGATTTAATGCAACATTATTCATGTTTAAAACCAAAATTTGGTGAATGTGAAACTAATAGCAGAAAAAAAATTTACATTCATTTTGTTTTGTCATTCCTAGTTCCAAATATATTCTGCATTTTTATATTAAAACTATATATGTGTCTCTATGTGTATATGTCAGAGAAAGAGAGAATCTCAAATATCTTCTAATAATAATAATTATTGATTTATTCAGGTTGGTCCAAAACATGTCAATCTCTTGATGCTTCTGAAGAAAATGACGGTTGGTCTAGTGCAGAAGATCCACTTAATTCATCAGATGCAGAAGAAGAGGGAAAGGGAGAGAAGAAATTGGTAATTTTCATCTTTATTGTAGAAATGTGATGAGATATATGAATCCACTCAATAAGTAATCACTAAAGAAAAATTAATGTTTGCGGTTTTTATAATTATAATTAAAATATCACTGCGCATGCGTGAGAGATGGCGGTCTTTGGTGAATAGCTCCGAAAACGCGGAGCCTGAAATGGCTAAAGGGGGAGCTTGGAAAGCTCCTTGAAAGGTCCGGAGACTCCCCCCCTCCCGGTAAGCCCCCCAGGACTAGATACGGGACGCATGGGGGCGCGGGGGACGTGGAGCCGACTGGTTACCGTTTTTCGGCCTCTTCGGCTTCCCCGGCTTCCCCGGCCTTCCGTCCTCGGCGGTCCCGTTGGTGGCTTGTAGGTGGCTTTTCCGGTGGCCCTTGGGGTGGACAGCTCGGCCCGAATCGCTCGGCCCGGATCGTCTGACTGCGGAGGTGCTCGTGGGGGAGGCAGCGGCCTGGGCGGCTCGTATGGCTCCTCCTCATGGGAGATGGCACGGATGGCTCCTGGGCGGCCCGGATGACCTTTCCTCGTGGCGGCCTGGGCGGCTTCCTCTGGGATGGCGGCCTGGGTGGCTTCCCCTGGGCGCCCGCTTTGATCGTGGGGGTTTTTCTGGCTGCCCCCCTCGGCCCCTTCCGGATTCGGAGATGTCCTGGACGACCTGGAGGGCCTCCCCGACGATCTGGAGGCCCGCGTGGACTCGGTGGCCTTCTTGGTGGCTGCGGCAGCCCCTACAGGTGCCCCCCCCCGACGATGGTTTTCAGCCTCCCCGGCGGCCTGGGACCTTCGGAGGGCTCTTCGGGCAGCCTCGACGGCCCCCTGGTGGTGGCAGCCCTGGTGGTGGCGATGGCTGAGCGGTTTGTTTGAACTATCCGAGGGCCTTTTTGGCCGTTCTGATTTCAACTGGAGGCCTTTCAGAGCCTCCCCAGCAGCCTTGACGATCTCTATGGCCTTCCCAGCGGCCTTTCCAGCGGCCTTGGCCGGGCAAGGGCCTGGGTTTGGGCCTGGACTTGGACTTGGCCCGCCCCGGCCTAGAGGATATCTCGCGGCCTGTTTGTGTCTCCGTTTGACCTGGTTTTGAAAGACCTAAGGG